TCCCTCACCAGGTACCACGAGGGCGGCCCAGCAACCGTGGCAGACCTGGGGAAGGAGGTCCAAGAGGGGCCCCGCTGCGAAGCCAGCGCACCTGCGGGTGCCCCTGCGCCCACACGGGCTCCGTGTTAGGCCAGAGAAGAAGGCGCGGCCTGGGCTAAAGGCCTGGGGCTCGAAAAAGGAGGGCGACGGGAAAAGGGGGAGGGGGAGGAGCGCGCGAGTGCAGCGGGCAGGGGACAGGCCAAGCGAGGAAGGGAGGAGGGGCAGAAAGCCCCCAAGGCCCAGTTCCGTCTTCCCCAAACACAAGCCCGAGGCCTGCCGGCTGCGGGGCTCACCCACGCCGGCCGCAGCGCAGGCGGAGTCTGAGTTCGAATCCTGCCTTAGGCTGCGCTGGGGCGGTCAAAGCGACAGCAAGGAAAGAGCGGGATTCTCCTTTCCCTCGCCCTGGGGACGGGCTGGCACCCCGGACCGGACCCCACAGCCCGCGAGGCCGGGAGTCCCTGCGCGAAAGTTCCGGGGGTCCGCCCCGGGCCGCGGCCGCCGGAGCGCGGGGCCCTGCGAAGCTCTGAACACGTTTCTCTTCTAATACTCTTGACTCATTTTGGCCCAACTGCGAAAAAGAAAAAGAAAAAAATAATAAAAAAAGGTAAAAGTAACGCTAGGCACCCGGAGGGAACCAGGGATGCCTGTCCTCTCCGACTCAGGGAGTCCCCGCTCCACCCGCTCGGGCGCGGAGCGCGCACGCCGACCTGCCCCGCGCTGTTTCTGGGCCGGGGACGGTGCGGGGTGGGTGTCAGGACCGTTCCCGGGCCTGCAGACTGTAGGTCCGGGCGAGTCGGCTCCGGGAGAGGACTGAGCCGTCGCGAGACTGTGCTGACTCCCACGCCTGGACCCCCACGGCCCGGCTTCTCTGCAGCCCCGGGGAGCTCTCCCCGCCCCCTCCTGCCGGGCGCGAGGGCAGTGAGCGGAAGAGAGCGCATCCTCCCCCAGCTCTGCGCTTCCCGAGCTTTCCTCTCCCGCAGGGGAACCCGGGCTTTTCCGCTGGAGACGGAACGGCAGCTTAGAGCGACCTCCAGGCGGCGGCGTCTGCGGAGCAGAGGAGAGCAGGGCTGTGTGCCTGACTGGCGGGTCGGGGCAGGCGCCCCTCCTGCGCCGGCAAGAGCGCCCCGAGCAGGGCAGCAGGAGCCAGGGCGGCGTTCAAGGGCACCCCAAGCCGGGCTGCACAGTCAGTACAAAAGATCTTGGGTGAGTCCGAGGGGGAGGGTGGGGGTCGATCTGTTAGTACTGTAATTGTATGGGATTCATTTGGGTGGGGTTAATATTTACATAGTGTGTCTTTGTAACTCTCATTTTTTGGTTTCCATATATTTAATGTGCGTTCCCTTTATATGGAATATATTTGAGGCTTTTAAGATTTTATTTATTTACTTTTAGAGAGAGGGGAAGGGAGGGAGAAAGAAAGGGAGGGAAGCATCAGTCCGTTGCCTCTCGCGCGCCCCCAACCGGGGACCCGTCCGGCACCCCGAGCACGGCCCTGACCCGGAGTCAACACGCGACGTTGCCCGCCTCGCCCCCCGCCCACCCCAACGTCTCCCCGCTCACCCCAGCCACACCAGTCAGGCTATTTGAGTTTTAATTTTCGGTTTGTTTGTTTGTTTTCTGTTATTAAGTGTCCTTCTTAGTCTTTTTATTGGGCTTATGTAGTCCATTTACATCTGATGTGATTACTTACGTGTTTGGGTTTATGCTGGTATATCTATCATCTTGCTATTTGTTTTATAGTTGGCCTGTGTATTTTATGTTTCCACTTTCCCTCCCCCTTTTGGATTAGGCACATCTTTATAAATGTGTCATTCCCTCATTTGCACGTTAATTTACCTCTTTGGGGAGTCATATAAAGGTTACATTAGAAGTTATGACGTGCGGTTTGGGCTTATTACTTCCTAATACGGTTTCTTTTGTCACTTCCCTGAGCATGCCAGGATTTGACATTCGTTTGCCCCTTTCTGCCCCCCCCATGTTTTTGCTATTGTTATTTACTTAATAATTTAATAAACTTGTTAAGCTCTAAGAGTCCTTATTGTTTTACAGCAATACGATTTAATAGTCACTCACATACTTACCCTTTCAGTAAGTTTGAAATTATTTAAAAATAAAAGTGAATCATAAGACTTCATTCAGGCGTCACCTCACTGAGGAATAAATCTAATCTCCATTGACTTCCGTCATGCGTCTCCTTGGTGCCCCGTGGTCCCTGCGTTGTTCTTTCCTTTCACCTCACAGAATCATAACTGTCTTTTTTGCCAGTAAATTATGAGCTCTTTAAAACCAGGAACTGTTATTTTTATGTTACCAGCACCAAGCCCAGAACCTGGTAAAAGATAAGCTTTCTAGCACTGATTGAATTAACGTTTATAAGAAAGATTGTCATCTTCCCTGAGGATCTTCTAAGTGTTCCAGTTCTCTCCTCTCGGACACAGCAGGCATGGTCTCCTGCGCTCCAGAAATACTCTCTCCGCCGGCAACTCTTGCCCCCTGGGAAGGACTCACAGCTACTCCATCAAAAAACGCACGTGCGCTCTCGGGCGCTCTCTTCTCTCTCCTCCTCCTCGCTCTCCTCTCTCTCCTCTCCCCTCCTCTTCTCCTCTTCTCTCTCTCTCTCTCTCTTCTCTCTCGCGCGCACGCGAGGCATGGATGTATTTTGTAAGTCGGCCTAGTGACCCAGTGCTGTCGCCTATAGAGGAAATCAAGGAGCCATCTGTGACACTGGCCTTATTTCTCAGGACAACCTCCCAGTTCTCTACAAAAATACAGACCACAGGTCAAACCCAGTTCACAAAATACAGACCCTAGGCCAAACCCAGCCACCTGTTTTTGTTAGCTAGAAAAAAATCTAACGGAGAGCGACGTGTTGTGGCCCGTGAAAATTGGACAATGCGTGGTTGCATTGCCCGTAGGAGGCCTTTTGGAAGGTGCCGTGTCGTTCGTTTCTGCATCGTCCGTGGCTCCGGCTGTGCTGCCGCGGAGACGCGGCCCCGTCCGGGCCATTCACCGAGACCGTCCGCCGGCCCTCGCCCTGCGCCGCGCACTGCGCGGCCCGCGGGCCACTCCGCCGGCACTGCCCTTCCGCTCCGGCAGCCGCCGGCGGCGGGTGCTCGCGCTGCACGCGTCCGTTCCTTCCCCGTGGTCCGCTCCCCGCGCGACGGGAGCGACGCGCAGTCCGGGGCGGCGCAGGCTCGCCAGGAACAGGCCCCGCGACCGCGAGCCCGGCCAACACCCAGAAGTGAAGCGTTGCTGCCGTCTCTGAATTAGCCCTTTGTGCTCTAATGTATCCTTGCAATGCGAGGGGACCCATGAGGTGGAGCCGTGCCCATTCTTTATTGAAACGGGTCACTTCCCCAAGGGCGCTGCCGGTTTCCTCCGCCGAGCCGGGGACGCTCCTGAAAGAAATGAGAAAGCAACGCCTGTGTCCAGGTCGCCAAGGCGACGGCCTGGCCGGGTGAGCACAGCAGGTGGGGCGGGGCGTCTTCTGGTCTCTGAGCTTGGACAGGATGGTCATATTTGAGGTCACTGTCTCTCTTTACAATCCAACGAGCGGATGGTCCTGTGGCCACTACTGGCTTCAAGGAGGCTAGGCGTGGCCTGCCCAATGTCCCAGTGCCCAGACACATGGTAGGCCCACGTAATGTGTAGATTCGGGTGTCCTTTAATTTCAGACGCATGCCATTGAGTTATAATTTTAAACACTTGTTCTGTTCTACTGCTTTATATTACTTTTTAAATGACTCCAATTACATATACATATTGAAAATCCACTCCCTGTCTTCTGTGTCTCTCATCTTTTCAAAATCTCTTTATTTACTTTTTTGGGCTTTTCTCATTTATAATTTGAGATTTGTTGTTCTCTCCATTGTGTTGATTATCTTTGTGCATCTTGTAATGTAAACTTCACTTCTGAGATAGGGATTGTTCTTCTCTTGATTGGGTTGGTGCATATTTCACATTCTCTGTTGGGCCATGTCTTATCTGTGCTCCCTTATTTCTGGTCTGTGATATTCTTCTGTAGTTACAGTTGCTGCATAATATTTTTTAAAAACTACATGTTGAAATATTGTATGACAACATTCCTCTTCCTCATGGCCATATTGATTTCTGGTGAGCCTTATTCTTTTGTTAATGTAGTACACAATATATTAAATTATTTTAGAAATTAGTCTTTAGAGGAATAAATATAATAATGTTCTTCTTGGAAGAGTTGCATTTCAAGATAACAGAGTCAGTAAAAAGGGTAAATATTACTTTTTGACCAGCATATAATCCATATAAATATCAATGTAAAAATAACTAAATAATTTAATAAAAGTTTGCGGTGTTCCACTGTTTCAATGTTTTCTCTTTCTGAACACAATGCACTGAGAAAGAGGCACACTCAACTTTTCTGGAATGGTTTCGGTCATAGAGATGTGCTGGAGCTGGCCGGAACTGGCTCACCAGAGCTGGCTGTTAAGTTTCCAGGGATGTTAGGACCCCACTAATGTCACCTAGGAAGCTTGAAATTGGACACGATGGGACTATTCACCATAAAATCACCTCAGTTTAATGGTCCAATTCATAGCGCCCTTTGTTCAATATAAGGAGCCAAAGATGCTTGACCACTTTATAAAAACACGTGTACGCGGCCATATATTTATTGCTGTTCCACGTGTGGACAAAGAAAGAAGGATCAACAATTCTCCGCTGGATTAAAATGTAAAATGGATTTACATTTTAAAAAAATTGAATGTCAATATATATATGAATAGCAAGGCAAAAAAGTACCGATTGATAGAACCAATGAGAATTACACTTTTTAGAAGTTCAGTTTACAGGATATAGCAACAACTCTGAAACCAGTTTTCTTACAGGGTTTCCACTGTTAGAAACAATGCTTTCATGGTGCAGACGAGTCATTCCTTTTCTCAAACTGTGGGACAGAAGAAGTATTTTGTCTCTACCAACTCTCCTTAGTTTAGCATCAGAATATACAGGTGTTTCCTCGCCCTTGAAGCCAGACAGAGCAGAAGATTTTGGAAAACAGCTGGTTCAGCTGCCCTTGGATTGACCCCAAAAACAATATTTCTTTCCAGACCTGAAAATCGACGGACACTGTCCAACACGATATGATCCTCCATGACATCTGATGCATTGACGAATTGTACGAACAGAAGAGATTCCTCAGGGTGCTGAAAACTTTGCTCCCTCATTGCTATTTCAAGCTTAGATTGATATGTTTTTATATCACTTGCTGTGCTGCAAAGCACAGCAATATCCTTGTGGGAATAACCCTGCCTTAAGAGGAACTGGCATTTCTCTGATATAAAATCCACCATCTGCTCCAAATTTAAGTACTTGACCTCAAAATCGCCTGAAACACCCTGAGTCCATTCAGCTTCACTGAGTATCTGCAGGAACCCAGGGGGGATGTTACGTGGTGGATTTTCTCTGACCTCCTGCATTTTTTGTTGTAGGTACTTGGCTATTGGATCTGCATTCCGGACCACTCTGGTGAGCTCTTCTCTTGGATACTGGTCTTGGAGACGGGGGAGGCCACTGATGTCCATGTGAGTGGTCTGAAAGTAGTCCAGAAAGATCCAGAGAATTCCCAGATGATCCTTTCTCTCATGAGTGATGGCTTTTGCCTTCATATACCACTGCCCATCTTCAGTACGGAAATTCTGAGCTTCATCGATGACGATGTGTTCAATCTCTTTGAAGTAAGTACTCATGAAGGTTTTCCGCGTCACTGCATGGCAGATATGTTTATTCCTGTATAAATTAAAATAAAAAAGGAAAAATAAATAATATATATGAACAGTTAATCAAATTAAAATGACACACAAGGGTTTTCTCCAAGTATGTAAAGGAGGAGGAACTCTACTCTATCATACTCCTGTGAACACAGGACTATGGGCCCAGATCATTTTACCGCCTCCTCCTCTCATGGGACAAAACGATTAGAATTGAAGGAGGTATGGAATGAAGTCAGAGTGAACCACATTTGGTGACAAGATCCAACTGCTTACCGGATAAAGTCCCTCAAAGGTTGGTTCTCACAAACATAGAGAATTGCCCTTTCCTTACAACCAAACACGTTCTTAATCTTCTCCATGATCTTCATGGCTATGACGGTCTTCCCTGTGCCAGGTAAGCCGTGGATAAACAACTCTCTGGTCTTGCGAAGGTTCTTTGAGACGATCTCATGCTGTTGGGCTGTGAGCAGATTTAAAATCTCACAGCCGGCCTGGTCACTCAGCAAAGACCTGAAGCTGAGCAAGACAATGACAAGGGACTGCAGCAAGGCTTCCATTTGCTGGGTGTCTGCAAGGTGATAGGACTCCGGGTACTCGGTGAGAGAGCCCCAGCCTTCCAAGGACCCTGAGCTGCTCTCGGAACTCAGATACAGGACCGTGGGCCTCACGTACAGCTTCCCGGTATAGCCGCCCATGTTCACCAGCTTGTCCTTCAAAGTAAAGGCTGTATGGGTGCAGTAGGACCGCCCGTCTGCATGCCGCTCCCCGAGGATGGTGTAGAGAACGGGGGTGCTGTCCAGTGCTACCAGCAGAGCATCGCAGATGACTCCCTGCCTCTCTGGCAAGTCCAGGTCCACAGCCCAGCTTCTAGAAAGGATCAGAGTTCCCCGGGAGAAAGGATGCATCTGCCTCCTTATTAATCCCTCCAGACCTTCATGCTCCGAGGACAGTTCCTGCCAGAGGGGTTCAGGAGTATATCGTAGACCTTCTGAAGGCACTAGATGTGGAGAGAATTACAAATTTGAGGTCAATATCAAATTTACTTTATGATGAATTATAATTAATAAAAAGGAATTATTGTACTTATACTCAGTTATAATTAGTCCTATGACAAATTAAAGATTTTTCATATCTGTTCTTTTGTAAATGTTATTATTCTTTAATAAAGGAAAAGAAGTCTTGAAAACCTAGCACACTTTCACTAAAACTATGTGCTCATTACGTTTATGACCTTGAGAAATTCCTTAGGTTCTCTAACACTCTGTTCCCTCACCTGTAAAACAAACAAAAACCATATTGCCTATGGTGAGGAATAAGTAAAATAACATAAAATACCTGGCTCATCGTAGCTGCTTGGGAAATGTTAGTTCTGTTCCCCTTGCTACTGTCAAAGTATTCGAATCTCAAATTCTCTCGGAACAGACCCCATTGATGGAGGTAGAAGGAGGCCTCCCAGGAAGAAGGCGCTCACTGAATTCTTGCAGAGAAGACAGAGCCACACTAGGCCGCCTGTTAGCAGAGCCTCTGGCAGTGCTCCACCGCGGGCCCCGAGGGTAGGCCCTGAGCTAACCCTCCTGAAGCGAAACTCCGGCATCGCTCCCAGACCAGGGAAGGCTGCATCTATCACAAGAGCCTCCCTCTGTCACGTGGGAGCAAGGCACAATCCTGCGACACAAGAACAAACTCACACTGCAGGGGTTTAAAACTTAGTTCAATGATCATTTATTCCAAAGCGGGGGAAACGCAGAGGTTGCTCTCAGCCTGTTGTGCCCATATCAGATCACAAACCGGAATCGGTTTGTAACACAGATTTTGAGTGCAGTGATCCATCTGTCATTGGTAATTGTTTATTGTTCATTGGGCCGGTGCTTTCCCACTTGCACCAGTTGTTGGCACACCTTGACCGAGTCTGTGACGTGGATGACAGGTAGCATGTGGGAGATGGCTTCCTTTAGGAGACGCCTCCCGACCTCAGCAATGTTAAAAGGTGGGGGACACACATCTTGGGGTAAATGAAGCAGAATAATATAAGGATCTGTTTCACATGGAGCTTTAGAAACCAAAAGAAGTATAAAATAAGAAAACATCGTTTGTTGATTGTACTGGGGAGTTCATAGACATCGCTGGGCCTCACAGTGGGGGCAAGGCAGACATTCTTCCTCTCTTTTTTATGAAAAATGGAAACTCAGGCAGGTCAATGAGTTGCCCATGGCCACACCCACAGGAAACGGCAGAGCCAGCCCCCAAACCCAAGCCCCAGGCTCCAGACCTTCTCTTGGCTCCGCTCACAGCACTGCCCCGCAAGTCACCCAGGCTGCCCCTACTGGTGAGTGGGGGGCACCGCGGAAGCGATTCACGGCAAACCTGTTTGATCTCATCACTGACTGGATCTTATTTTGCCTTAACTATACAATAGGACATGCTTCCTCAGCAAACTATGTGAACGCAAGAAGTGTCCCTTGCATTTCTTTGATAGTCCACATGACACTGAGCGAGTCACGGGGACCAGAAGAGGTGCCAATAAATGCGACACTTCACAGGTGCCAATAAATGCGTCCCTTCACAGGCAGCAGAGCGGGCACACGCCCCACGTGGCTTGGGGTCCCTGTGCCTTTGCAGAGCTGTGTTCTGAGACTGTCATGCCCCCTCCGCTTTTGTCACCGGACAGACTCCTCCCATCTTTCCCGGAACTCCCAGGCCTGTCCTCTCCTCGGGACTCCCGCGGAACTTAGATCCATTTTGAGCAGGCACTGCACTCCGCACCTAGGGAAGTCTTCCGGAAAAAGCCCTGGGGTGTCCTGACGGCTGTTTTCACACTGTAGGGATCAGCTGAGGGCTCCTAACAGTATAGGACGCCAGGATGAGGGTTTTGGGGGCTGGCTGATTCTGACCTAGTACCCCAGGCCCTGACTTTCTTACTATCAGTAACTGCAGTACAGACAGCATTTCTGTTTCAATCACTGCATTTCCTCTCACATAAATATTTGTAGTGTTTAGACAGAAGGCAAATTGTCATCGATCCGTGCTAATGATTAAAGTGCTGAGGACATCTCTGTTCTTAACGCCTGCAGCCCAACGGCAAAACAAAAAACAAACTCTTTATTTAGCACTGTTAGTATTCGGAACCTAACACCAGGAGCAGCCTGTGAAAATAAAACTTGGCCTTTCAAAAATTAATTTTAACTAGGTAATACATTCCCATAGTCCAAACACCAAAACGTCCCCGCTCCCGCTTGCTCCACTTCCTGCCTCGCCACACTACCCTGCCCCCTCCACAGTCGCGAGTTTGTTTCTTGCTTAAGCTTCAAAAATTTCCTTATGGAAATATCCCCGCTCCCACCTTCTTACACAACAGGTAGCAAACCATTTGGTCCTTACTTTATCTCACGTAGCAACAAATGTTGGAGATCTTTCTATGTTACTGCATGAGAACTTTCTTATTTTTTCTCACAGTTACGTAACGTGTCATTTTATGGGTATGTCATTTTATTTAACCAGTCCTTATTGAGGGGCACGTGGATGTCCTCCCTAATTTTTTTTTAAAACGTGATTTTTGTAATGAAGCTTCTTTAAAAAAAAAAAAAGATGTTATTTATTTATTTTCAGAGTGAGGGGAAGGGAAGGAGAAAGAGAGGGAGAGGAACATCAATGTGTGGTTGCCTCTCAGACGCCCCCTACTGGGGACCTGGCGTGCACTGGGAATCAAACCGGTGACCCTTTGGTTCGCAGGCCGGAACTCAGTCCACTGAGCCACACCAGCCAGGGCTCCCCCCTAATCTTTTACCATTATAATAATAGTACAATAAGTAACCTTGTACATTTGGAATGTATGCAAGTATATGTGAAGAATAAAGTCCTAACAGTGGCATTGCTAGGTAAAAGGGTACATGCATTTGTAATTCCGGTAGGTACTGCCAGGTGTACCAATTTGCACTCCCACTAGCAACGTATAAGGCTTGTGTTCCCGCAGCATGGTATAGAAAAGATAATGTCAGATTTATTTATTTTTACATTCCAAAGATAAAAATGATAGCTTGTTTTAATTTGCATGTCTCTTACTTCAATTAATAAGCATTGTTTCAAATGTTTGAAAGCCGTGTGAATTTCATTTTTTCTGAACCGTCTTTGTTGATTTTCCTGTAAAGTGATTGTTTTTTATCCTTGTCCATTTCTGGAATCCCTTTTACACAATCTAGAGACATTGGCCGTTTGTGATATAAATTGCAAATGTTTTTCCCAGTTGGTCAATGGCCCTTTGACTGTTCTTAGTGGGTTAGGCTTGCACAATGCTTCTCAAAAAAAAATTTTATGCATTCGTATAGACAAATCTTTCAGTTCAGGCCTTCTGGATCTTGAATCTTGGTTTTCCTTTTTTAATTTGTTTATTTATACATATACTTTATTGATTATTCTGTTACAGTTGTTCCATTTTTCTCCCCTCTGCTTCCCCCTGCCCTGAACCTCCGCTCCCACCAGCACCCCCTCCTGCGTAGTTCACGTCCATGGGTCGCACGTGTAAGTTCTTTGGCTTCTCCACTTCCTACACTATTCTTAACCTCCCCCTGTCTACTTTGTACCTACTATTTATGCTTCTTATCCCTGTACCTTTCCCCCATTTCCTTTCTCCCCCTCCCCTCTGATCTCTATTTCTGTGATTCTGTTCCTGTTCTAGTTGTTTGCTTGGTTTGTTTTTGGTTTTGGTTTTTTTGGGGGGGTTCAGTTGTTGATAGTTGCGAGTTTGTTGTCATTCTACGATTCATAGTTTTTGATCTTCTTCTTTTTTCTTAAATAAGTCCCTTTAACATTTCATATAATAAAAGTTTGGTGATGATGAGCTCCTTTAACTTGACCTTATCTGGGAAGCACTTTGTCTGTCCTTTGATTCTAAATGAGAGCTTTGATGGATAGAGTCATCTTGGATGTAGGTCCTTGCCTTTCATGGCTTTGAACATTTCTTGCCAGCCCCTTCTTTCCTGCAAGGTTTCCTTTGAGAAATCAGCTGACAGTCTTATGGGAACTCCTTTGTAGGTAACTGTCTTCTTTTCTCTTGCTGCTTTTAAGATTCTCTCCTCATCTTAATCTAGGGTAATTTAATTATGATGTACCTTGTTGTGTGCTTCCTGGGGTCCAACTTCTTTGGGACTCTCTGAGCTTCCTGGATCTCCTGAAAGTCTATTTCTTTCACCAGATTGGGGAAGTTCTCCATTATTCTTTCAAATAAGTTTTCAACTTCTTGCTCTTCCTTTTCTATTTCTGGCACCCCTATGATTCAGATGTTGGGATGTTTAAAGTTGTCCCAGAGGTCCCTAAGCCTCTCTTCATTTTTTTTTTTAATTTCTTTTTTCTTCATTCTGTTCTGGTTGAATGTTTATCTCTTCCTTCTGCACCAAGTCGTTGATCTGAGTCCCGGTTTCCTTCCCTTACTGTTGGTTCTCTGTACATTTTTCTTTATTTCACTTTGCATTGCCTTCACTTTTTCCTCCATTTTGTAACCATACTCAACCAATTCTGTGAGCATCCTGATTACCAATGTTTTGAACTGTGCATCTGATAGGTTGGGTATCTGTTCATGGCTTAGTTCTATTTTTGGAGCTTTGATCTGTTCTTTCATTTGGGCCATATTTCTTTGTCTTAGAGCACCTGTTAGTTACACTGGAAGAGACGAGGCCTTAGGTATTCACCAGGTTGGGGCAACCCAGGTCAGTGCGTTGTGAAGCTGTCTGTCGGGGAGGGGTCTGAGAGGGGACAAGGTCGCTTGCTCAGCTCTCAGAGGCTTTCAGTCACTTTCCCCACTACCCACAAGAAGACTGGACCCTCCTGGTGCTGATTCCCAGGTGGGCGGGTTTGTGTTCATTCTAGGACCCCGTGGGTCTCTCCAACAGACTCTCCTGTGAGGTAGAGTTTCTCCTGCCGCTGCAACCCCCACAGGTTTTTACCTCTATAGATTTTGAGGCTTTCTTTTCCCACGCTGGAATCCTGGGTTGTGTGGTCTCTCTCACTCCCCAGCTGTTCCTCCAGTTTATCCGCACGCAAATGTAGGACCGCCTGGTCTGCCATCTGCCGCCTCCCTTGCCTGGTCTTCCAACCGTCGCCTTACTATGCGTCCTTTCCACCCTGGCTGCCCTGTCTCCACCCCTCCTACTCATCTGGATAAATGCTTCTTCTTTAACTCCTTGGGTGTTGGACTTCCATATAGTTCGATCTTCTGGCAGTTCTGGTTATTGTTTGTTTTAAAATTTGTTGTTGTCCTTCTTTTGGTTGTGCGAGGAGGCAAAGTGTATATCTACCTACACCTCCATCTTGGTCGGAAGTGAGTACTTAGTATTGAATCTTGATTTTTCTAATCCTCATGCCAAAGTTATAAAAGCATTTGCCCAAGTTTTCTTCTAGAATACTTATGGCTTTAATATTTTGTTTAAAATTATTGGTCCATTTAGGGTTTATGTTAGCGTGTGCTATGAAATGTGAACCCACATTTTACAAAATTAATTGCTACCCAGTTATCCTAATTTTTTTTTTATTGAAACATCAACTTTCCTCCACTTTGTTTTTAGACATATTGTAGCCAATCTTAAGACAAAAGACACCATTAAGAAAGAGGCCCACCCCAGCTTTGCAAGCTAGTGCAGTTACTTTTCTTCTTATGTGTACTCCCCTCACTTTTTTAGGATAAATTCCATCATAAAGTAAATTCTCATATGTGTTTGCATCTATTTCCAAAACTTCTATAGTCTTGCTCTAATTATATGCCAATACTTTTTTTTTTTTTTTTTAAATTAGAGGCCTTATAACTATTGGCTGGCTGGAGGGCCTCTCTTGTCTTCCCTTCCTCTTCAGGTTTTTATTTCCTGGTTCTTCTTCCTTATTTACTTTCCCACTGGAACTTTAGAATAAGTTTGTTGAGATTAAATCAATCTCTTTTTCATTGATATCTCATTGCAATTATAAAATAACAGAGAATTGACAACTTTATGATGTTGAGTTCAAGATCATGACATGTATTTCCGCCTGATACAAGTTTTCATCTGTGTCCTTCAATAGGTTTTAATATTTTTTGCAAATTGGTTTATGTTAGATAGTTCACTGAATAACTTTTTGTTGCTTTGCAAATTGGGTATTCAAAGAGGCCCACCCCTAGACATATCATGATTAAAAGGCCAAACATTAAAGATAAAGAGAGACTCTTAAAAGCACCAAGAGCCCTGGATGGTGTGGTTTTGTGGATTGAATGCCGGCCTGTGAACTGAAAGTTCACTGGTTCGATTCCCAGTCAGGGCACATGCCTGGGTTGTAGGCCAGGTCCCCAGTTGGAGGCATGCGAGAGGCAACCAATTGATATATTTATTGTACATGATGTTTTTCTCCCTCTCGTTCTCCCTCCCTTTCCCCTCTCTAAAAGTAAATAAATAAAATCTTTAAAAACTTTTAATGTTAATAAAAGAAGGTATTCTTTTGATGTTTGGTGACAATTCCTGAAAAATTGATTTTTATATAAGACTAATAGATTGTTGTTCTTATGACCATACAGTTCAGTATTTTGTTTTAGTTATAATTTATGTCATGGTAATAACTATCAATGTTTATGCTTATTCTTGCATCTAATATTGTTTATTGTGGACAATTTTGAAAATATAAATTTGATGTGCAAATGAATGGGAAGACCTCAATTAGGTGAGGGAAAAAATAAAAACTTGGAGAGTCATTATCTATTAATGGTTCTTACTATTTACACATGTACACGAACATTTATGCATCAAATTCTAGTGCCAAATAAGTCAAAGACGTGAGCACGTGCTTTCCCCTCTCTAGAAGTCCAGAAAGAGGTCAGCAATGGCCTCCTGGTAAAGGCCAATGGGTTGGGAGAGAGGGATGAGAGCAGAAAACAGGCCCCGTCCTTGGTTCGGAATCTTTATTTCAGGCCGAGACACAAGACTGTTTCTCTTACACCCAAAACATGTTCATAGTTGGTCTTCATTTTATTTATATTATATTATACCTTGATATAAATATTCTTTTTTACTTTCAAAACAGGTACTCCCCTGGACAACATAGCAGAGGTGGGAAATTGTTTTGCTCTTGGTGCGGTGTATGCCTCTAGTTCAACTAGATAAAACGGTATCCAGTCTGGATGAGCACCAAAATCATGTGAGTAAGCCGGATAAAAATACACATTATGAGATACTATCCCATATTCTAATTTATTGAGTCTGGAATAAGGTACCTGGTATCTGTACTTTTTAAAATAACCAGAAACACTACCCTGGCTGGTGTGGCTCAGTGGATTGAGTGCCGGCCTGCAGACCAAAGAGCCGCTGGTTCCATTCCCAGTCGGGGCACATGCCTGGGTTGTGGGCGGGTCCCCATTTGGGGGCGTGTGAGAGGCAACCGTACATTGACGTTTCTCTCCCTCTTTTTCTCCCTTCCTTCCCCTCTCTCTAAAAAAGTGAATAAAGAACCAGAAAAACTGATGATCAGTATAATTTGAGAACTTCAAGACCATTTCTTTAATGGCAATAATAGCCCTAGATTCTATATGTGGTAGTGCCTCAGCCAGTGGGGACTGTGAAGGTTCACTTCTAAATTATTTATCACCAATAATTTATCACCTGGTGATAAACTGTCATCTGGTACACATAGGTTTGCAGAGTATTCTTTCAGGATTTTTAAAAATTTTTATTTAATTTTAGAGAGAGGGAAAAGGAGGAAGATAGAGAGGGAGAAAAACATCAATATGCCAGAGAAACATTGATTGATTGCCTCTCCCATACCCCCAACAGGGGACCAGGCCTGCAGCCTAGGCATGTGCCCTGACCAGGAATTGAACTGCCGACCTTTCACATCACAGGACAATGCCCAACCTAGTGAGTCACAACAGTCAGGGTTACTTTCTGGATTTAAAAAAAAAACAAAAACAAACAACTATAACCATTTACCTCCCCTTATCCAAGCATAGAAACTGGCGGGTGTCAAGTAGGCAAACCATAATTGCTACCTGGAAATAAAAGTTGCTGGAGATCTTCTTTATGTTCCAGGCCTTTCTTGGAGTACACTGGCCTGCTTAGAGGAGGCCCGCTAGACAGGCTCACCTGAAGTTCAAAGTCTTCGCACAAGCCTGGAAGACCTTAAAAAGAAAGAAAATTCATGTTGTTCTGACATGTTAGTTCATCTTTTCACCCCTGAAGGAGGCCTTACAAGGAGATATATGTATGACTGTCTAGGTAGTGTGACTTGAGAGATTGTGGCAAGATAAAGCCCCATTCATTTTGTAGGCAAGTGTCGTTACTGCAAATGGAGGTTGCAAAGTCCAGCAATGGAGAGACAGTATCTGGAAGTTTGAATGAGCTTCTCATTCAATGTAATTCTTCACCCTCTATGTCTAGATAGCATTTTCTTTCTATTTCTTTTTTGGTATGTACCACACTCTTTTAGTAAACATGTAGCTTACTTCTGTGGTGTAAATATTCCTGCCATGGACAATTTCAAGCTACCGATGTGATGTCACTAAGTGCAGAGCTGGGAAGAAATGCACAGCAGCACAGCATTTTATAGTATTTCCACCATACAGATAGCATAGATGTAAATAACCTCACAAGCAAAGATAGTATTAAAATGTAGTAAATAATTAGGCAGTGATGAGTTTGTATTTATTACATTGGTTTTTAATAGAATTGTCAGTTTATATAACAATTTTTAATAATGAGCATACTTATAAAATGGCTCACAAAATTCCTGAAATTTTATCTCATTTTAAAATTGTATTTATTGATTGTTTAAAATTTATATTTCATTTATAAATTGTATTTGTAGAGACTTGTTGTTTCACTTAATTATACATTCATTGATTGAGTTTTGTACATGCCCTACCCGGGAATTGAACCCGCAACCTTGGCATTCTCAAACATAACTTAACCAACTGAGCAACTTGGCCAGGGCAAAATTTTAATAAATGACTCCAGAGCCAGGAAGAGCTACTACAAGACAATCATTCCTCCCAATTTTTCTTTTCATCTTCTAATGTGAAAGAAAAATTGCCTATTATAAGATATTGATTTGGTCTTCTACTTAACTGACAAAATTTTATCATATGTGGAAAACAGGATACTTGGAGATTCAAAAAACACAGCATTTAGTGGGTGTGAGAAGTTCAAAGCCACAGGAAACAAAGAAAAACCTGTCTGATTTGAGGATACTAGAGGTAGAAAAGGACAGGGAGCGAGGTACCTTCCCCCTCTTACCTGGATCTCTGTCCATCACCATGTCTACCCATTGCTCAGTTGTCAGTCTGCAGACTTGCTTGCCTTTCACCATCCATGATTTGGGAGCTTCTGAAAATACCGCACAACAGAACGGCTCCACTCGGAGTGCACAGACATAGCCACATAACTCTCCGTCCACTAACACTTGAGGGAATTTGAGTTTGAATGTTATCTGGCATTGGGATCGGCAAAAATGGACACAAGGTAATTTGTTTATTGCATCTTCTATTTTCTTTCTCAAAGAGTTAAGGTTAAAATTTTCTTGAGCACATCCCAGAACTCTCTTGCTCTTATCATCCACTCCAATAAAAAGAAAGCCACCTTCACCGTTTGCAAATGCAGAGACATACTCTGGAATTATACTTTTTACGTATTCTTGGATGTGTTTTGTAGAGAACTGTTTAAACTCTACATATTGAGACTCAGGAAAAGGCAGGATTTCGCCATGTTCAAGCCGGTCTCTTTGGAAAGTTTGGTAAGCAGGATTCAAGCACTGGGAGTTTTGTTTTGACACCATGGGAATTTTACTAGAAGGTTCTTTCCCCAAAAGTATTGTTTTTTGTTCTTTTTTCTTCTTTTTCAAGAAATTAAATGCCTCTCCTAGTTTCATGGGAAGCACAGAGGTGCCAGATCTACGGTATAACGAAGAAACCAGGCTGCAAATGCGGGGCTTGGTAGAATTGTCTTCAGAGGAAGGGCCAGGACTCCAAGATTTAACAAAAAGGTAGAAACACCTCCCTTGTTGCTTGGTGTCAAAGAAAGCCGGCAAATCTGAAGACTCAATGAGGGTCCTCAACGACTCTTCTAAATCCAGTCCCATTTCCACAGGGTGCCCCTCGTTGCTGGCCTTCTCCATCAGAATCACCCCTCCTCCTGAATTCAATAAAGCACATGCAGCCTGGACAACTTTCTCCTTCTCCTGGTCTCTCTGAGTTTTCCGCAGCTTTTTTCTGTGCCCTTCACCAACAGTCACTTTTCCTACACTGATGACCAAATCTGCGTAAGAGGATTCTACCAGCAAAGGTGAATTAGGTGTCTCCATCTTCAATCTGCAACACAAAGCTATTAACAGCCGTGTATCATGTGGATGAAGAAGGACATTAGGTAGTACATAAGAATGCATTCATTTCTTCATTTGAGAATATTTGCTGATTTCCTGCTACGTGCTGGGGGTGGGACAGTAAGTGGCAGATCAAGAAGAAGCATAGACCTGACTCTCAGAGCTTATTGTCTGAAGGGGAACATGGCTCAATAAAGCACTTGTGGTAGGAAGGGTTTCACAATAAACCATGTGAGAGAAGACGGAGCCCCGGGCCCCAGTGGTGGCAAAGGGGACGAAGAGAATTTGGGCACATATGAGAAACGTTTAGGAAATAAAATTATAATGTCATGATCTGCATTGACCAGATAGAATTAGGAGAAAGGATTAAAATTTGGCAATGGAGTTTTGGCATGGGCAACTGGGTGGTGAGTGGTACCACTTATTGGCATAATAAAAAGTAATTTTAATTGGCATCTTCTATTAAATTTGGGTGATGGACATATTTGTGTTCATTATTTTGTTCTTTGTATTTTTTGTAAGTTTAAAATTACTTATAACATAAAAACAAAAATCTTTATCTCCAAAACATTTAAAAGTTGAGTGAGGGATGAACATTTAGATCATTAGGAGGACAGTGGTAGAACTTCTGGACCACGCACATGCTTAGGACTCTGCGGGAAATGAAGATGGACAGACGCAGGGGAGGACCTGCTAAATGGAAGAAGAAGGATCAATGGATTCTGGGTCTTTATGTTGTCAAAGGACTGGCGTTTGGAAGTGGCTCAGCAAGTCAGGAAAACTCAGCAGCACCGCGGTGGGGAGGGGCTCTTCAGACGCTTACGACTGGGCTGCCCCCTCAGTCACTGTCGCCTTATGCTTGATGATAGGCCAAAGAATGCGATCAAAACATTTCATTCTTTGGCTTATTAATACAGGAAATGTTCCGTGAGTGCTCACTGTGAGCACACTAGGTGCTGTGAGAGACACAAAGAGTCTGCTGGTTGGAGGTTTATGGTTGAGGTCATATCAAATTACCATGAAGTGGTTTAAACAGTGGGTAAAACCTATAGCACTAAATGCCTATACTGCTAAGAGGGAAAAATAAAACTAGTGATTTTTTTTCAAAAGTTAAAGAACTTAAGAAAAAACTAGCTCACAGAGGAACACAAAATAACAGGAATAATAAGTGCAAGGGCAGAAGGAAATCAGAAAATAAGAAACAACTATTTGATTAGTTAGCAAGATAAAGGGTTTTATTTTTGTTTGTTGTGCTTGTTTGGATTTTACTTTTAGACAAGACACTGGCATCCTTATTATTTAAAAAGAGCTTTGAACAAGTAGAAGGGTGGTCAAGTGTCCAGGTGTGTCAAGGAACAAGGTCTGTCTCCCGAGCTGTAAATTGCTTGGGAGGCCGGGTCATTCACAATCTCGCTCGTCTGCCTGGTACGTTCCTCGGGGTAACTGTTACACTTGTAACTCTCTCGTTCTATGTTTTAGCACATTTAAAGTCTCCTTGTCAGGTTACTTACACAAAGAGCCACTTAAGAGACATCCGCCCTCTGTCTTAATGTTTATTCACATGGACACTTGCTCTCAAGTACTGCACGGTAACTCATTTTCTGGGATAAATATTTTCATTTTGGCAACTCCTTTCTCTATATACTAAGTCTGAATTATCTTGGCCCTGGTCAGGTAGGTCAGTTACTTAGAGCTTCATCCTGACACACCGGGGTTGCAGGTTTGAAATTTGGTCAGGGCACGTACAAGGAGCAACCAACGATTGCACGGATGGGTGGGACAACAAGATGATGTTTCTTTCTCTCTAAAATCAATCATTAAAAAAACTTTTAAAAAAACCTGGATTTTTTTTGTTTGGCATAGAAACCTTGAGAACTTCTAATCAATCTCTTCTTCTTTTAAGACTTGAAAGATAATCAATAAATAGGAAACTCTGGTAGATTTCTTCCTTTAAAATAATGAGCAAGAAGATTTTGTTCCACCAAAAAATATATTATGGATTTTAAAATCATAAATGAATTGTTTTAAACATATAAGCATGTAAGCAAACTGGTTTAATTAAAAAATTGAGAACTCAGATAAATCAATTACAGAGTAAAACATCAAGACAGTTAGCAAAGAAAATTTTTTAAAGTACACGGCTCCACTGGGCTTACCGGAGAAAACTTAAATGCACATTGCTAAGTGAAAGAAGCCAATCTACTAAGGCTACATACAGCACAATTCTAACTATATGACATTCTGGAAAAGAGAAAACTATGGAGGCAGTACAAAGATCAATGGTTGCCAACAGTTGGGGGAGAGAGAGGTTAATAGGTGGAATACTGAAGATTTTTAGGGCAGATAGTATAATCATGGATATATGTCACTATTTATTTGTCCAAACCCATAGAATGTACAACACCAAGAATGAACCATATGTAAACGGTGGACTTTGGGTGATTATAATGTGTAGGTTCATGAATTGTAACAAATGTACCACTCTGGTAGGGAATGGTGATCATAGGAGAAGCTAGGCATTTGTAGAGCAAAGAACAAATCTCTGTACCTTCCTCTCAATTTTGCTGTCAACCTAAAACTTCTGTTAAAAAAAAAATAGTACTTTAAAAAACAAGACAGATAAGCCCAAGGTAAAGGAGAGAAGACCTACCTGTCGGGAGAGAACCAGGATATTTGCAGAAGCATGAGTGGCCAGGGGCAGAAATCCCGATCAAGATCTGGGATCAAAGTTTTGATACAAGAAGACTAGATAAGTCAAGCCCAGATGAAAACTGGGAGGACGGTAACAAGGATTGTGTTTGTGCCTTTCCTTATGGACTGAGATAACTTACGTCACTGAGCTGAGCACTGCACCACAACATTTACATGCATGATCTCACTACCTCCACACAACAAGTACTATCATCTTCGTTTTACCAAGGAGGAACCCGAGGCTGGGAACATGCTTAGAATCACACGGATAATGCCTGGCAGTCAGTGATCTGGCTCTAAGTCTAACGTTGTTCATCGAAGCCTAGGTCCTTAATCACCACGCAAACTATTTTCTTCAATTATTAAGCCCCCTAGGTGTGGAGAAGGTCTGAGAACAGAAAATTTTTCAGGTTTTTTGATAGTATAACCATTCCAGCACGATCTTCCTGATATCAGTTATAGCATTAATTTTATATAACACATTTGACAACAAAAGCCAAAAACACAAATATTGGTCAATTTCTAAGAATATGTAGATAAAAGTCATACACAAAATGTTGCCAGACAGAACCCCTCAACACATTAAAAACATCTGGAGATCCAGAAAAGATAGAAAAATTTTCTGTCTTAAACAAGATGTAAAAATTATCAACCATCATGGAAACAGACGTTACCTAGATATATTTTTTTAAATTTCTGTATGACAAAAGATACCATAAACTGTTAGAAGAACAACATACATGGAAGATAAGACTGTCCCTACTTACAGATGATATAATGGTAAACCTAGAACATTCCAAGGATTCCTTGGACTAATAAATGAGTTAGCAAAGTCTCAGGATACAAAATCAACATGCAAAAATCAATTGTACTTCTATACACTAGCAATGAACATGTGGAAAACAAAATTAAAATTATAATTTGCAATCATTACAAAAAACTTAGGTATAACTCTAACAAAACATGTATAGGACTAATACTGAAAATTCCAAAATGTTAATGAAAGAAATTGAGGAAGATCTAATTAATAATGGAGAGATATACTGGATTCATAGATTGGAACACTCAAGAGTAAAGCTGTTAATTCTCCCCCAAATTGATTTGAATGTTAATACAATTTCTATCAAAATCCAAGCAAGGTTTTTTGTGCATACAGATAAAATTATTCTAAAATATTTACAGAAAGTACAAGAACTAAATTAGTTAACGCAATTTTGGAAAAGAAAGATGTGGAAGGAATGGCTCCACCTTGCATTAAGACTTCATACATAGCTCAGTAATTGAGACAGTGTGGCTTGGCAGAGAAATGACACAGAGATCAATGGAATAATTTTGAGAACCCAGAAGTAGCCCCACGTAAGTACAGTCAACTGATTTTTGCAAATCACTAGAGGATGAATAATCTTTTTGACAAATGATGCTGAAGCAATTGGGTGTTCATAGGCAAAGAATAAAAAGGACCTTGACCTAAACCTCATACTTAACACCTTACAAAAACAAAAACAAACAAACAAAAAAAAACCCCAGAAACAAAAAGATCCCTCTCACAGTGGATCATAGAGTTAAATGTAAAATGATAAAATATGTTGAAGATAGCACAGGAGAAACTCTTGATAACTCTAGGTCTTGGTAAAGTGTTCTCAGATGACACCAAAAACATAATCTGGAGAAGAAGAAAATCAACAGTATGAGCTTCATCAAAACTTTCCAACTTTTGCTCTGTAAAAGATCCTGTTTTAAAAAGAAAAAAATGAAAGGACGCCCTCACTGGGTAGTTCAGTTGGTTGGAGGGTCCTCTCCTGCACCAGAAGGTTGCCAATCCCAGCGATCCCAGTCCCGCACATACAGCAGGCGACCTAGGGGTGTGTCTCTTACACTCTCATTCTCTCTCTCCCCCCTCTTCTGCCCTCCTTCTCTCTCTCTCCCCTCTTTCCTCTCTCCCTCTAAAGTCAATAAAGATACACTTGGGTGAGCATTGAGGAAGGAAGGAAGGGAGGGAGGGAGGAAGGGAGGGAGGGAGGGAGGGAGGGAGGGAGGGAGGGAGGGAGGGAGGGAGGGAGGGAGGGAGGCTACATACAGGGAGAACGTATTTGCAAATCATGCATCTGACAAACAGCCCAGATCTAGAATACACACAGCACTCTAAAACGCAACAGTCAAGAAACAATTTCTGAGCAAACTAGGAGTAGAGGGAAGCTTCCTCAACTTGACAACGAACGTGTCTAAGGGCTTGTCCCTTTCCGCGCGTCACCAGCCCTCACCTCTCACACGCGCCCACTCCCCGTCCCCCAGGCCCCTTTTCTCCTTTTCCTCGTCTCCCCAACTGGAACAGCGGAGCAGCGACCCTCCACACGGCATTCTGGGGACCCAGGTCGAGCCCTGAGGCTGCATCCTGGAGAAGGCGCTGGCGTGGCCACCTGACGGGGGCCCACGGCCCCGCCCCCCGTGCCGCGCACCTGTCCGCCTGCCCCCTTCGTGGTGCATCCTGCTCCTGCGCACGGAAACCAGTGATCCAAGGCACGGTGTCTTGATGGAAGACAGTTAAGATAGCAATGTGAATTTTGAAATGTTCAAACTTACATTCATTTGTCTTAGAGAAAGTGATCATTCTAAACCTATAAATGAAATTGATCTGTTTTCACTGTACTTATCCTAATGATTCCTACAATAAAAGAACAAACAGGTCAATTTTACGTTGTTTACAAAAAGAAGAATCTGGGCGCTCATGGCCAAGGTTAACGAAAGAAAGGGCAGAGCTTGTCTGAGTATGGACTTCGATAATTGGAAAGGCTGGGAAGGTGATTCAGGCGAAGACATGTCCAATTCTGATCGTTTCTCTGAGATGAGGAACAACAAGGGTGCCGACGAGGATGTAGGTTTCCCAGAAGGAGATGCAGCAGATGAAGATTCACAAGACAGTGATGATGAAAAAAACGCCAGGACTGGAGTAGAGAATCTTGTCGTTACCAAATTTTGAGGGGAAAAAGAAAAACACTTCTCTGCAAGATTTCACAATTGAGGTACTTCCTGAGTTGATAGCTTTAAGAGCAGATGCTGCCTTTGCCTCCTTTAACCCATTTTTCAACCTGTTTGTTTTCTTAAAGGCTTCACAAAGGGCTGGTTTGTGTCATTGAACAGGGCAATTTTAGGTCAGCTAAAGCATGAACACGGCCCAGACTTCATGACACTGTTGAGGTCCCAGGCAACTGATACGGCAGTTGTGATAAGTAAAAGCATTTTCCTAAGTCTCCTCCACTTCATAGCACAGACACTGACATGTAGGAGGCTCCTGGATTACGGAAAGGTAACTAAGTTTTAGATTCTACAACATGGACTGGAACGGACTGAAACAAATTGGTTGATACATTAAACCGGTAACAGCATACTGTTCTTCCGGTGTATTCAAGATTGTTTTGCTAAAGTTTTATTTTTCAAACTTTATTGCACATAAGTGATCACTTGCCGGTGTTCCACATATATCTTAGCTAAAACTAGTGAATGCCCTAACTTAGATGGTTTTTGAAGCCTGTACATTTGGTATTGTTTTACCCTTAAGCTTTCACATCTGTTAGCAAGGAGGACAAAAGAAAGGCTGAACATTTTTGCTTGAGAGTCTGTACATTTAGACCAAATTCATATTTGCACTATCAGTATAGCAAGTGGGTGAAAAAAACTTAATACACTGCTCATTTTTTTCTCTCTTTTTTTTCATTCAGCTTGTACCAGGGCTGAAAAACCTCAATTTATGTTCATGACAGCAGGGATTTTTAAATGTCTACATTCTTTGTAATAAGCTATTGAAAAACTTCTTGGGTGTCTTTTTAAGTGTCTGGTTTACTGTAA